GTCATTCACGTATCGAAGTAATATCGTTCGTTACATGGGTGAAAGGTAAGTCGAACTTACGAATAGAAGTACGTCGCCTATTGCGAATCGCACGCGCAATAGATGTTTACACTTCTCAACCTTCCTCGCCGTTAACATCATGAGCGAGTCGATATACTGCATGTGACATTATAAAAAGTATAAGTCTATAATTAAAAACAACTTTGCTGCTTCTAAACTTCACTAACCTCGTCGTCGAGTTGAAACTCAGGATCCAGGAGCAGGCCAAACCAACTCTTGTATTTGATCCCGACGGACGTTGAACGGGAATTGCCGTCGGTTGATGGGTCGTCCATCCATTTCTGGAACCCCTCGTCCAGGAGCGGTGGGATGGGGCATGTAGGGTCGTACGCTTGAACTTTGATATCACGTTGGCTGGTGGGCGTGTATATGGCCCGCAACTTCCACGGATATTTCCTCTTCCGAAGACCCTGGCCAAGTGGGCCTTTAATAAACTCAGGTTCAACCTGTAACAAGTATAAAAGAAGTTCAATACAAGACTTAATGACGTTGGAGTTACCTTAACAACGGTCAAGTGTGGAGTTCCTCCATGTGATAAGGGTAGGGGACGACTTTCTGTCCTATTAGTTTGCTTTCTTGGTGGCCCTGCGGGTTGCGATGTCGGTACGTTAACCATCTGCCCCTTACTTGCCTCTCCGTCACTGGCGCACTTACTTAGAGTAAGATCCTAAAAATGGACGAACATTTGCTTTAAGTAAATAAAGTTAGGTTAACGTAAAAAAGTTAGTATCGTTACAGAAATACCTCAATTACGTCGATCGGACTAGGGTGGCCACTTGGGACCTCCTGGGTAGCTCCAACAATGGTAGGAGCATGATCCATCTCCACGTCACTCTCGGTGACGTCGGCGGGTTCTACACAATTCTTCGGATCCTCGTCCATCCTCGACTCGTCCCATGTCTTTGGCTCTTTCCCTGTCTTCGGATCCTCATCCATGTCCATATCTTCCTCGTTACGCCCATTCGGATCACGTTCGCCCGAAGAACCATCCTGATCCGGCCCACCGCCCCTTCTATCATATTTATTCTGGCCCTTCGACATAACCTACGTAATAAAAATTATAAATATACGGATGTGAACAAAAAATTCAGATAATACAATAACCCTTACCTTTGTTAGCCTCTTCATAAACTTCTTTATGTCCTTTATGTCAGTCGTCATGCCCGTCAGAGTTGTCTCAATGGCCGTCACTCTGTCGCCGAGCCTCCGCAGCTCCCGACTCCACTTATGCTTCGACCTCTTCTTCTTCTTCTCYGTCCCTTTCTGTGGCAACAATTGATCTTGTCCTCCATCGGTCCCAATAATATCTTTTGTTACATGATCAACCACTGGGGAAGCATCCTTTGCTACATCATCGAGCTCAACTGGATCTCCAACCTCACCAGTAACGGGAGACTTCTGAGCGGTGGAAGTAGTAGTCAGTGGTTTTGTAGCAAGTTCTGTGGGTGCAGGAGGTCCGACAGGGGCCACTGGTGGATGCATAATGCGAGCCATGTGCTATCGTTCGACATCAGTCGCCTCCAAACGAACTACAACCTTCGACTGTATAACACAAATAATTAGGTCAATTTAATATTAAATACTAAAAACAATAAGAAGATGTTGTACTCACCTTGACGTTCTCGAAGACCTCTCGCTCCAAAACATTAAAAGCACGCGAATAGGTGCAGGACCATCTAAGTAGACGAGGAATAGCATCGTCATTCAGCCTCAATGCTACTCGAGTCGACAAGGTTGATATTGTCTCGTATGCCCAAACCTGCAGTCACGTCAAGTTAGACTCTACGGTATTTCACAGGTACATAARTATATAATAAATTACATTTAAATTTCACTAACCTGAAAAGCGTATGGAAACMCATACAAGCTATACGTCTCAACATGGCTCGAGTCCATAGCGACCTTCTGTTTGTACGYCTCGACCTTGTCCTTCAGAGCGTTCTTCAAGCTCCAGAGAGTTCTTTCAAAAATCATTGAACTCCAGTCATAATTACAGAAAACTTCCCACCGATCCACAATCCCAAGGAGGCTCGTGTCCATTTTCAGCTTCCTTTCCTTGCCCATCATGGCAAGCTCTATGAAGTACACTATAGCAATCTTCACAGCGTCCTCGTCATTTTCGAATGTGTGTTCTAAAAAAATTTTCTCCAACTCCGAACACTTCACACTCGCCTTGTCTTGAAAATACAGAATTCTAAGTCTCCGGTTACGAACATCCTCATCTACCCTATTCATGGTGTGTCTAAGACCGGTTATTAGGTCGAACTCCCGCTTCCCAAAAGAGACCCTATTCCCGAATAGGTTAAAGCTAATGAGGTCGTCTTTAGGTTCCTCTACCTCTCTAAGCAACAGGTGATGGAGCAACGGACCGTTAAATACAACGTTCATCCCTAAAATCGGACCAAAACATGTTTGACTAAACATGTCTAACTGAGAGGGAGTTAACCTAGCCTTAAGACGAGAAGAGGTTTTCCCTACGTGAGCGAGATTTGACAGCGCGGCTGGGAACCAGTCGTCTTGGTTGATCTTAAGTGTCATATTCATGTCTCTTGTAACAAAACAAAACAATATTGCTTAGAAACGGACCGGGTTGAAGCCTGGGATGGAATCCGGAAAGTCGAAGTACAAGATATAGTCTTTCTGGATTCCATCTCGGGCCTCGTCCCGGTCCATTTCGAACCGGGATGAGTCCCAAGATGGATTCCAGAAGGATGGTCTTTCTAGATACCATCTCGGTCTTCATCTTGGTCTATTTCGAATCGGGATGAGGCCCGAGATGGAATCCAGAAAGTCCATCCTTCTGGAATGGACTTTCAGGGTTTCATCCCGGTCCTAAATCCACCAGGCTTAAAGCCGAGATGGAACCCTGAAAGTMAAAAATTAAAACAAAACAATGGAAGCAACAATAAATCAAACTTCATAATAACCTTGGCTACTTCAGATAGAACCGAAGGTTGAAATCATTCACACCCACGCAAAGAACGAAGAAAAAAAAGGTAGAAAATCATTCACAATAAGATCGCGAGTTCGAAAGAAAAATTACCTCAATTAGGGAAGGGGGAAAGCTCTGATAGAGACGAAGTGAGGGAGACGAAGAAGAAACGACGGAGATGAACTTTTTGGTTGTGAGGGAGAGACCGGGATGAAGACTGGGATGGACAACGAGATAGTGAATGAGGGAGGGAAAGGATCGAGACAGGGAGGGAAAGGAGGGGAGGGCTGAGTTTGATTTCCTTTTTTAAATTGAGGGTAACTTGGTAATTTTACCAAGCAAAATAAGGGGAGGGGTCCGAAATCTGAGGTGGAGGGGTCATAAATACGTAAAAATCAAAAGGGGGTCAAAAGTCCAAAGTAGTTATTAGAATGGGTCAAAAATCCCAATTTCCCAGCTTTGCAAGTCATTTGACCAGAGGAAGATCCTAAAGAACAAGTTGTATGTAGTAGCATTTGGACTCAAACCCTTATTCACCATTTCATCCATCAAATCAAAAGCCTCGCGAAGCCTCTTCGCAATGCAAAAATTTCGTATCCCAGCATTATAAGCTGCAACATCAGGATAACATCCATACTCCTTCATTTCCTTCAAAATATTTCTCGCTTTGTCTGGTTGAACGATCAACCCGAGTCCCCCAATGATACTAGTGTACGTAATCACATCAGCATGTATATCCTCATCCCGCATTCTCTCAACAACCTTGTACGCCTTGTCCATTTCCCTGTTTTTACAATAAACATCAACCAAACAATTATATGAAACAACATCAGGCTTGACCCCCATTTCTCTCATCTCATCAAAGAATCCCTCGGCTTCTTCCGAGGACTTCCAACCCGACAATAATATGTTAAACGTCTGCAAGTTCGGTCTAAACTTACTCTTCATACCGTGATACACATTCCTCGCATCCGTCATACTCTTCTCCTGGCACAGAGTTCTCAACAAGGCATTGAAGCAGGCCACATCAAACTCAGGAACAAACTTCTTAAACTTCCTAAAAGACTCCACAGTCTGTCTTACAGAGCAGACTTTGGCAATTCTTCCCAAAACAACCATAACAGTCCACGGCGTGATTAACGACCGATCTTTAAGCTTAACATCAACCAAAACGTCCCAAATCTTTTCAAACTTCCGGCTCCTGCCTAAGATATAAAGCATGCTATCCACAGAAAACGCAGTGTGATAAAATCCCCTTCTTGTATCAGTCATATTTACTAACTTGAGCGTCAGAGAGTTTGTCCTCTTGTATCAGTCATTCCATAACGTTCCGAGTTATCAAGGCATACGTATTCGACCTTGACCAAGTCTAACCTAGTCCCAATTTTTTGCATAAACAGCAATAATTTAGTTTTTGTATTGTTAAATTGGTAACAATTTAGTTCATATAGTTTGAAATTTGTAATGATTTCATTCTTATCGTCCAATTAAGTTTCTAATATATGTAGATCGATAAATCGATGGGAGACTAGATGTGTTTATAAATTAGAAAGACTAAATCGCTGTGTAATAGAAATTGACACTTAATTTTTATAAGATTTTTTACGGTAGGAACTAAATTTTTATAAATTTTAAACTATAAGAACTAAGTTTTGATAGCCCATGTTATTAAAGTCCATCGTGCAACATTAAACTTATAATATTACTAATGTTGTAATTCAAACAGTATATAAAAAATATTATAAGATTTTTTGGTTTTCCTAGAGCCCTTAAATTTTTAGAATTGGAATATTAAATGTTAAAAAATTAGAAGGTAAAATCGTGCCCCTCGAGAAAATTCCTCGAAATGAACAATTCATTCTGCAATGGAATATTGATTTTTAGACAATTTGGATCGACATTAAATTTACACTTAAAAACTAAAATAATTAAAAAGGAAAATATCTTTCTAGAATCCTCAATTTGATGCTCTACAAAAGAAATAAAGGGAAATTTATTCCTCTTAGTCTTAGGAAAAAAAAGTAGAGAGAATTATTTTAAATGTGTGTCTTTTTTTTTCCTTTTCTAAGTACAGCATGTAGAGGTAGAGAAAACTTAAAACTTCTTGATTGAAAATATACGTAGGAGCTTATATAGAATCTTTTAATATCTCAAGTTAAAAATTTTATATTATTTCATTCAAATAAATATTATATTAATAAAATATTTGTTTTTCCTTTAATGTATCAAAATACATTCATCTTTAGCCAAATAATATATTTTAATATCACATATATTAAAATTTTGTATTATTTGAATCTGGTTGAAATGATTGTTTTATTAGTATATTTTATACATTAATAAAATATAATTTTTCATTTTAATGTATCAAATACATTATTTCTTTTTATTATTTAATATATCCAAATACGTTAGATATGAATTTGAAACATTTCAAATTCAATTTATTTCAACATAATTGATTCATTAATATTCTTACGAGCTAGCAAACAGACTTTATGGATCTACAGTTTATGAGCCTCAATAATACAAAATTAATTCATTTCCATTTATTAACCCAATAACAAACTATAAATCTGGAGTTGCAGTCTTATACACTATAGGACATGTTATGTTCATGAATATAATTACTACATGCAAATCGACCATTCACGGGTTGTTCGAAATTACAATTGGGTCAAAAGTTTGTTTTACCCCTATAATTACACCTCAAATATCACTATCCTCCTATGAATGATCCATTTATGATGCGACCATAATCTAAGTTCCTCTCAAGTCAATGAGAGAGTGGGGCTCTATTGTTCAAGATCCAAAATTTGCACTTAAGGGAACTACTCATCTACTTACCCTATAATACAAAGAATGCATGAACTCTATCTTGTAAGATTATATTCTAATTAAGCTGCAAAAGTGAGCATATAGTTCAACAGTAATTGACATATATCTTCAACTATTGTTTGGGGAAAGAATACCCTGGACACGTGGAGGACCCCTATTGGTGCTCCAAGATGACTTATGAGTCATGCCCAGCTCGGACCGCCGAGATCACCACCGTTAGCGTTGACAGATGCTAAGTATGAGGGCCGCGGTGAAGCTGGCCAAGGTCCGAGCTACCGAGAAGCTCGGTAGGGGCCGATGTGAGCTGCTGTCAGCGGCATGATTATCGGGTGTAACCAACGGTCCCGAGATTATCGGGCGTAACCGACGGTCCCGAGATTACCGGGTGTAACCGCCGCGAGATTAGCGGGACTACCACCCATAAGTAGAGGACCTCACTCCACGATCAGGTATGATGATGATTTCTGACCTCGAACTAAACTAGGGATCCGACCTGTACTGACTTGATCGTCTGAGTGCTCACCTTTTTGTGCAGGTCCGCCCAAGTATTCAGGTCGGTCCGGAGGCCGAGTTCGAGCTACAAACGGAAATACACTGTTGTGCATATCCTTGCATAAACATTTGGCGCCATCTGTGGGGAAGAAAATCTAAGTCATCCCAATCCTTTTAAACCAACACGCGAGCGAAAATGGTTCAACCAGCAAACTCGACCAATACGGCAGATCGAAGGACTCTAGCTGCCAGCGA